GTAAGTTCAAAGTATCTATAGCATGAAAATAAATTTCACCTGAGGGGTAGTGACAGGACTTTTTGCACAACCACGACTATTAAATACTACTACACGCCATCCTTTACTTCTTGCTCGTACAAGCATATGTCTCACGTATGTATCATCACTTCCTCCTGTTAGACCAGGCTGCAATAATTACGGGACAATGTTGATCAGCAATACGCACATTGGATCATGAGCAAAGCTTTCGTATTTATGATTTGCAAACATGCCTTTTTCACAGGAGGACTACAATCATAATCAGCAAAAGTTACAGTACATGATGCAAATTTTCTTTTATTGCACATGAGATGTTGAGTGATTGGGTATCCAATTATGTTGCAACATATACATTCATCCCCCATTTTGATAAATACTACCACATCTCAGGACATCAGCTTCAGCTGTGTGCACAATAACCAGCCAGCTATAGATAACCTTTGACACCACATTTACCCCCTTTCAGGTAGCAGCTATAGACATCTGATCGAAGATATGAAGAAAGTCATCGCCCTAATGATAACTCAAAAGTCTGATCTGTTTCCCTTTTCTTATCTAAATCAAATACTTGAAACTTAAAAATAGAATTGAATCAAGCATATAAAATCTAACCAGGAGAATTAGGACGGGAGAATCAGGTGGCAGCTGCCGATCGTCACCGACCACCCAATCGAGTGCTACTGCCCCATCGTCCCGCGTCCGCAGGCACTCGCGGCGCAGAGGAACAGCGGGTTGTGAGCGGAAGAAGGCGGCGAAGATGGTCTCCACGTGACAGTTCCATCCGATGAGGGGAAAGGGCTTGTAAGGGCGCCGAAGGCTCTCGAAGCGGGAGAGGATCGCGCGGCGAGCGCCAATGATCTCCAGGGACGACAGGGATGCGTCCGACGGTTCTTGGACTTGGAGGCTGAGGGCATCGCCGCTGCAGTAGGCCCTGGCACCGGAACCGGAGGAGGAGTAGGAGGCGGCGGCCATGGGAGGATGCAGCGCAAGGCGGGGGAGAGAGGAGCGCGAGAGAGAAGAGAGGGTGGGGGCGGTGGTCGCCATTGCGGCAGGAGCGCGTAGGCCACAGGGGAATCGTTGCGGCCAATCATTTAAAAGCTTTTCTTTGCCGTTGGATCGGATGTGCCTCCACCGTGGATCGTTTTTTTTTTTTTTGATGATCACGATGATGACTATTATTATTATTATTATTATTATTATTATTTATAATGATAAAAAAGAAAATTATATTTTAATTAATATTTATTCATACTCTTAGAGTGGCTGAAGGAGAAAAGTGGATGCTAATTAAAAGTAAGGACAAATTTCAAAAGCATTTGAAATCGAAATCCTTCCATAACTATTAAAAGTTAAAAGTTTAGTTTGATTACTCACAAAAAAAATTGTACACTTTTTCTTAGGTGATTTGTGGAAGAAAAAAGCTTTTAGTTTGGGGTTTTGATTATGAAACTTCTTAGTTTTAACTTATTATTATAGATTTCTTAAAATATTTAAAATATTCTTAGAAAAGGAGTGATATTGGATGTTAGTAAAAATATTTCTTTTTATTTATCAATATTTCTTTTTTTTGTCTAGGACAATAATTTTCTCCAAAATATTGATGAGAAAGTTGAACTGATTAGTTAGTTAGATCACCATAATAGTAATTATTTAGGGAAAATATTCTACAAATAAAAAATATTCAAGAAATATTTTTTATTTTGATTCTTACTGATGTGTCACTTTATTATGTTTTTTTTTTTTAATCGCACGTCTACTGATGTTTCAAGCTCTAGTCGCAGATGAATATTTCTCATATCAATTATTATTAAAACATCATATTATTTTTGCATTACCATAATAGATATGAAAGTCAAGATCACAAGATGAATCAATTAAGACTATTAGTGAAGAAAACAATAAAGGAACTGTGCAAAGACAGGACGCTTTCAATTTAACTAAATATTATTTTATGTAAAATTCATGGTAAAAAAATTAATGCAACAAATTCCAAATGATCAAGACGTTATGGTTTATCACATAGATTACGATCATTTTGTTGATTATGTTTGTGGTTACAGTGCATCATCAGATCAGTGGTTCACATGGCACAATGAACTTTATTGATAATTATATCTGGAATTTTGTGTGTATTTCCTCCCTTGAGAATCAAATATATTAATGTTCTCAGTAAGCATATATACCTTGCAGCAATTCCTTCAAACAAACAGAGTGAAGAATTAAGTTGACAGATCTTAACCAACAAGCACAAGCAAGCAATTACCTGGACAGATTAGCATCCTCATAAACTTTAACTGATTCCAATTTTTTCAAATCAACAATTTTGAAAAGTTTGCAGAAGACAATGTTTCACAAATGTCAAAAAAAATCCTAAATCTACTTTGGTGAGGTGCTTGTTGGACAGTGAAGACCAAGCCCAATATCAATATGGGCACAAGGAACTGCAATATTTTGATCACAAAGTCTGAACCTTTATCTGCATTGTAGGCTTCTTGCTGCGGTGATACGGAGTTGCGTTTTGCCGCAACAGTTGAAGAATCTACCTCACCGATGTAGTGCTTGATCATCATATCCCCCGCCAAAGTACTATGACCTATGTCTTCTAAATCATCGGTGGCATCTTTTCCTGCAATAGAGTTTCCTTTGAGAATTTTACTCGGTACAGGATACATAAGAAGACCATGAACTTTGGAGTTCTGCCTGATCAATTTTTTTCATTAAAAGCAGAAAAAAACATCCAACACAAGACACTACTTAACAGCAGCAACTTACAAAGTCGAGGGTCAAAAAGAAAACAACAAACAAATTCTTACCAGTTGCCGCCAGCAAAACCTCATTGCCACCGGGATGCTTGTCCATAAATCGGATTAACATCATAAACCTGCAAGGACCACTATGCATTGGGTATCAGCAAACAGTTTTAGAAAATGCGGCAAACATCTTTAATGTTAGTACATGTGTCAATCATTCTTAGTGCACTGGATATCTACATATAACTTCTTTAAAAGGTATGGAGTTAGAATAGACTATCACATCTTGGAGATTGTTAAGGCCAAAATTTGCTAGACATATAAGTTAACAAAACCCAAAATGTTCAGCTGGATTCGCTGGATCCTGGTCAGAAAGTATCTGCAAGCCAATAACAGCTCAATATGCAATCTGATATGACCAGTGGATGCATTTAAGCCCAACATCCTTACAATCATAAAGTACAAGGAGTCTTGATCATCACTCTGTAATTTCTGCAGCTTCAGAAGCCAGCCAGCTAGCTCCATTTTGTTACAGCTTTCACCTATATGAAACCAGTTAAACTTGGGGAGTCATTTTGTTGCTCATAGATTTGCAAGTTTTGGCAGATCTCATTGTACTCTCCCTTTTTGGGATGCAGCTGATCCTTAAGCTGCACAGGTAGTTTTGAAGCTTAGTGAATGAAAGTTTTAAGAAGAAAAAGTTGAACTTATGACTTTAACAATCAGATCAGGTCCAGATATAAATTTATCTTTCATCAGCTTACAACTTGATATGTACCTTGCTTATAGAAGTTGACAAAAAAACAACGAGAAAAACATAAGCAAATACTCAATTTTTTATACAATCAAAATTTTGTTGGACAACTAATGAAAGTTATACATTTTACTGAAGAAAATGAAATAACTCCAATATTATCTACGTGCAAACATTTGATAGGAGATGGTTTTGTTACCAGATATTATAGTGTTCTAAAATAAACCCAAAAATGTTATGAACTCCAAAAAATAACCTAAGTGTACAACACATTTGTTTTGAGATGAACATTTGTTGAGAGAATAAAAATTGTTATTCAGTCCCATAAAATGTCTACAATATCTATTCCCCTTTGTGCTTTTTAGGAGTACAATATTGTTGATCATTATATTATTGATAGTTAGTTCATAAAGGATATTCTTATAAGAGTGCATATTTTTATGACTTAATTACCACAATAAAAAAAGATTTTTTGAACAAACCTTTGCTTCACTAGAGTTTCAATGAAGAATGAGTCTTACCTACTTCTAGCCTCATTTGCAAAAAAACGTTGACTAATTGCCAGTTCTCCTCGTAGTTTCTTAATATCTATATTGGAAGAAATTTCTATTACAATAAATGGTGTACATGACGCTCACACTTATGCAGCAATGCACCAACCAATATAGAGTGCATTAACAGTACTTAATCTTAAACAAGTCCCTATTTTTACATCACAATTTCTCCTTTCTCGCATATCATAAGCAAGCAACTTATAGCCTACATGCTAGTTGCTAAATCTTACCTAAAGCTAATAGATTCATCAAAGCAAATAAACAAACAGATAGAGGACAAGATCCAGTAGCAAAAGAAAAATGAAAACAAAAACCAAAGATAAGGCAGGACCTTCCGGAAATGACGAACCAGCGATTTTTAATGACGTTGTGGTTGGAGACCTCCTCGCAATGATAGATCTTGGAGTCGGCCATTTACTGGCTAAAAATCCGATCCCAATCTGCAAACCAATAAAACCATTTTGTAGCAAACGACACAAACAGAGTAGAAATCATTCGAGAGAGAAAAAAAATTTGCGCCCACATCCCACCTACTTCCAAGTCCCCAGAACGGGATCGCTGCTACGTCGCTCGGGAATCCAATTTCTCCGCCTCAGAATCGCAGGTTTACATGGTGTTCGATGTCAAACTTATGACGTCTCCTTGTTTCCTCGCGGTAGCTACGAGATCGGTTATCGGGCACGGGCATTACAGAACAATGTTTATCGACCATTTTCTTTACCCAAACTTATACTCGCTTCATGATTGGTGAGAAATATTGGGTGTTTGATCGCTAGCAAGAATGCCGAGTGCCTCAGTTATTTATTGGGAGGCTGTAGAATACTTAAAAGAATGGTATGCTCGGAAGTGTTCTCATACGTTACGGCAGAATACTTATAAATGATATAACAGATATATTTATTGGAAGGCTTAAGTGGGAAAATAACAGTCCTCGAGTGTCGCCATTTGAACTGCGCTTTTTGCCCCCTCTGTAACAAGAGAGAGTACACCTTAATCCGTTCGATCCCGTCAATGGAGGAGGCGGAGCACAAGAAGGACGACATCTCCGATCTCCCGAATGAAGTCGATGCTGGATCCAATTCCCCGGTCGAAGCCAAAGGAAGCGAGATCGAGCTAACGTTGGATGCCAAGGGGCGCGAGATCGGACCGCCGGGCGAGGCCAAAGAAGGCGAGATAGAACCGACGTTGGATGTCAAGGAAGGCGTGATCGAGATGGAGGGAGATGAGAAGGAACCCTCGCCCTGTGTGGAAGCCGACGCTTCAAACGGCAGCGGGATCCGCAAGTTCACGATGCGGGAGCTTCTGGACGAACTCAAGGAAGAAGAGAAGGAGGCTGCTGGGGGGAAGGATGACAGATCTTGGTCGATGGATCCGACAAAAGATGATGGTAGCGATGCTCAGAGGAATAGCTTTGCTGGGAGGTCCTCTTTTAGGTTTGTGCTCCTTTGATTCTCTTCGCAGTGTCTTGATCTGGACAGGCCTCTGTAGATCTTAGCTCATAGCACTTGTCACTTGAATCATAATGTGATTTCTATAATTGGTGTTTAATGCTTTTCTTGGAGGCAATTGGGCAGTTTTACTTGTATTTTTTTTTCATCACTGTTGGAAATACATGTAATAATTTTGCAGCACAGTACAATAATTATATCACACAATTGCATGATACTATATTTCATCAAGAAGTTTAATGGTTTTGTGAGTCTAAACATTGTGTTGAATGTCATTTGACATTTTACCGATACATATAATTTTTCCATCTTAGATACTGTGCATGATGCTATTACAAACAAGGATTAAGAAATCAGAGCCAAAGGCATGAGTTGAAATTTTAATTCTAGAAGTTTTTATGGAAAAACTACTGAAATGCAATTTTCAAATGCAGTTTTGAAATGCAAGAATGTGAAGGAATCTTTACCATCAACGAATACACAACTTGATTAGGCTGGTTTTCTCTATGATATTAACTTTCTTTGGCTATTAAAGTCTAAGAATCTTGATCAGGTTGATTAAGATAGTAAATAAAATCACCTAGACTAGGTGAGGAGCTGGATCCTCACAATGGCAATTAGGAAGAAAATGAAAAGAATAGTGGAGAATAATAGGGGACAGAACATCAACTAGACTTACAAATGCTAAGAGGTCCCAGACCTTGGTTATGTGGTCTGAGATTTCACTTACGATGCCAAAAGTTGGATCAGACAGCCTGTGGCATTGTGAATGACTCTTAAGAGTGTTCAAAAAATCTTTTCTGATATAGTTATGGAGGTAGCTGGTTTATTCTTATAGAAATGTTTGTCCAACTATGATTAAAGACTGTTAAAAAAATATGCTATATATGTTTCACATAACAATTTATTTTATAAAATAACATCAAACCAGATGTCCTTGATATGTGATATATGTGCATGATATTTGATGTATATGATGATTGTTCCATGTAATAGTACTGCAGTGTACAACAACCACAACAACAAGATCATAAGTCCCAATTGTTTGATGTCAGCTACATGGATCTTTTGCCGTCGTTGAGATCTGTAAAAAACCATATGTTTAGTCAAGTTTAGATCACTTAAATCTTTGTTTATATATCTTCCAGGCATAAAACCAAATTAATTTTCAGATATATTTGTTTCAAATCTTATTCTATTTTCAATAACTATTTCCCAAGGTTTCATAGTATGACTCATGATTTTAATAATTCTATAATTTGAATAATTTTATATGTCACCATTGTTCTTATAAACTGACACTAAGAAATTCTTTCTCCATTCATCAGGCATTTTTCTGAATCTCATGATTTTGTTAAATAAACCAGTTAATCAAGCTACTCTCCTATCTTCTAAACTTTTTCATACCTCAATAAGGATACCATCATGTCTCACACTCTTAACTATTTTTATCTTTTTTAATGCATTTTTTACTTCACTAACTCTAATTTTACAAACAAATTTATGATTATTAATTCTACCACTATTATTTATCATTAAATCTAAGTTCTGTGTGGAATATTCATTAAATAATTTATAAAAATAATTTCATCATCTTTCCTTAATTTCGTTATTAATAACAAGTATTCTTTGATCTTCGTCTTCAATGCACCTAATATTACCTTAATCCTTACACTTTCTTTTCCTATTTTTAGTAATCTAATATATATCTTTTTATCATCTTTAGTGCCTAATTTATTATCAAAATTATCATAAGCTTTATATCTTGTCATACTAACTGCTTTTTAGCCTCTTTTTTAGATTCTTTATATCTTTTAAATTTCTCCTCATTTTTATAATTTTGCTAATTCTTAAAACATGATGTTTTAGAATAGTAATGCAGTATATGGTCAGTTATTAAATGCATGCATTTCCCCTTGATGGCAGCTTAATTTTGTGGTACAACTCTCCAAAAGATTCTTTTTCATAAACAAGAACAGAAACTTATTATCTATTGGTTAATCTTTCTCTACCTAATCTCAGTTATCATCTTTTATTCTTTTTCTCGCATAGATCATGATCTTAGAGTTTTAGATGCTTAATGCTTTATGTTTCTTGAAATGAAAATTCATGCATTTGGATATCTTGTCTACTTCAGTGCATCATTTAGATGGCAGATGCTATTACTACTGAATATCTCTTTTTGAAGGAAAAACTGATGAAATGAGTGAGATTATAATCTTCTTATCACTCCTGTTACAGCCAGAATGACATTTCAATGGATTTAATCAATAAAGTAACTGGTGTTGATGAGGAAGGTCGCTCTCGACAACGGATACTTTTGTATGCAGCTAAAAAGTAAGTTGTATATCCATTGGTCATTTTCTTTTGTTTCGAAGGAATTTGAACTTTTCTTATAATGTAAAATCTTCTGCACATTTTTTATTCATTTGATATATCTGTTGTAGTAATACTTCATCCTGTTCTCCTGTCTCTTGACAGCATGATGATAGCAAAGAATATTTCCAATTAATTTATCATTCTTCTTTTTTTCACTTTTTTTTAGACTTTTTAATTGTTGGTATTATTGTAATTCAATCAGTATGCTGTTGGCTGGAGTATTTGCTAGTTAAAACTATTTTTTGCTGCATGCTGTTGCGATACATATTGCCTTGCTAATTGCATTAGTTATTCATGGTTCTGAATCATGTAAATAAGTAACATCTCCATAAGTGGGCATTAAGTCTGCGACAGCCTGGCCTCTGTAGACCCTGCAGTGGTTTAATTGTTGTTTTATGATAGCTTTGTTCTTACTTTGATATGATCCCTTACAACTTAATTCCAATATGCATTATGTAAAATGGAAAATGGGCATGCTTATACTGATGCCTGAAGATATTTTCTTGTATATCAATGGCTTCTTTGTAACTTTTGTAGGTATGTTAGTGCAATTGAGAGCAATCCAGAAGACCATGATGCATTGTACAACTGGGCATTGGTTCTCCAGGTATGATTTTTGTCATCTTCAAGCCTAATATTATTTTTATGCTTAGCAGATCAATGTACTTATACTGCCTAAAGGTCCTTAAACAAAGCTCAAGGGCAGGCGATATCCATGTCCAACTCCATATAATTGAGATACTAGCATGTCACAAAAGTAGCATTGACAACACATTACTCTTTGGGAAGTCAACTTGTTGTTACATGTTAGTGAAGTTTGTCTTGAATGCCCAAATCATTGTGCATGACAACTACTTTCTAATTCTCTTGTAAATTCTGAGTGATTAAGTTCTGTGGTGCTAATTTCATTGAATCTTTATTTTTCTTGTTACAAATCAGAGGTATGAACATGATAAGCAAAATGTGGTGTGTAAAAGATTTCCAATTTCCTTATCAGTCAAGAACATGGAAGCTACTATGATATTTTTCTTCTTTTTAACCATGTGGAAAATATGAAAGCAATCTCTTAATTTAGTTATTTACTTTTTTTGCATATCTTATGATCAAATGCAGGAGAGCGCTGACAACGTTGGACCGGATTCTGTTTCTTCTAAAGATGCCTTACTTGAGGAGGCTTGCAAAAAGTATGAGGAAGCCACACGGCATTGTCCTACTCTTTATGATGTGAGTATCTTCATGCTAGTTATTGTAGCTCCACTACACTGAAATACTGCAAATGTCTGTCAGGAAAAATGCTATTCTGTTGTGTTCTGATTCTTGATTTTGTGCAATAATACTGTGGTCAGATAGCATGCAACTTTGATGCCAACGAAATGAAAAAGTCTTGCAGAAGAATCTCCGTATACTTTTTGCAGCTATGACAATATATTTATGCGTATAACATATTTTGGTGAGAGAGGTGTAACAAAAAGTGACAGTGCATTGTAAGCATGGAACTCAATTTGCCTAGACCGGTCCATCCTGACTGGTATTTACCAGGTTGGATGTGCTAGTATGCGGACCATTCCATTTCAGGCAGCGGTGTCAGATCTTAAAAGAAATATATGTATGTATAATTTAAATAAAGTCCTCTCTTGATCTTCTCACTTAGCGTTGTTGCCCAATCGTCGATCGCCGCCCACCTCTTTTCTGGTATCACCACTCCAATGTGTTTAAGTGCTTTGTTGGGAATAAGATGCCCGATGAAACCTTGCGACTAGTGATTAAAGTGACCTTTATTATCTGCTTAGCTATTCTCTATAATGTTTGGTGTATGGCATGCAGCATTGTAAGACTAAAGATACCAAGAAATTTGATATGAAGTTCATTTATATCATGAAAATACTTATTAAAAATTTTGTTTCACACATCTAGGTCTGTTACAGTTCTGTTCCTATTTCCTATATGAATTATTTTCCTCACCACTTGGTAGACTGCTACTTCAATATATTAAAAGTATATTTCTATGTAATGAATGCATTAACAATTCAAGTTCATGCTTGTGTTGGAATACTTTTTTTTGTTGTTTTTCTAGTCTATCAATATATGTTTTTTATGTTAAGGATATGCCATGTGTTTATGGTCAAGGATCATATTATTGTTACACATCAACATGTTGGCCAATAGATGGATTTATGATGTGGTATGGTACAGTGTCAGACTGACATGGATATGCCAGGAAAATGCAGTTAAAAAGAGGAAGGGAGAAAAAGGAGGAAGGGGAAAGAAAAATAAACGTGTTCCTGGGGCCATTAACAATACTCACCATGCTTTTGGCTTCTGCTTTGATGATATTTGTTTGGCTTATGATATCCTTTGCTGTAGGAGACTAACACAACTTGTATTGCAAGAACACTGAAGACTGTACCATTGGCAGAAAGCACTGTTTTAATATTTTAAGTGGAGTGGGTTCAAAGATTAGCCATTACCTAGCTGAAATTCAAGTCAGTTGTGGTTCAATGACTGAAATGGTTTGTCAAAAGATTTAAGAAAATTAGGATTCCTTCTCTTTAGATTCTGGACTAGTAAGTATGCAACTGTACTCCCTGTATGCTATGATACGTAAAACTTTCTCGTGGAAGGTAATATGTACCACTTTTCTCATAGGGAAATAATGAAGGGCTTGCATAAGATACTTTCTTTTGGTTAAACAATTAAAATAAAAAGCAGCATGTGCCAGCCATATTGTTTTTATTATACCTGATATTGTTGTTTGGTGGGAGGGGGTGGGTACCAATGGCCCTCTTGTCTCCCTGTACATTTATGCTTAAGTTCGATGAACGTATCGAGTAACGACCTAAATCACCTGATTATGTTCTTCTTAGGGTATCATTTATTTGTTTGTTTTGTACTTCTATGACCCTTACTACCTTATTGGGACTTGTTACTTAAGGAATTCCCATGTACTTGTTAAATTTTGAAGACATTTGCACCTTATCCGGGTATTTCACCTTAATTTTTTTGTGAAATTTTTATTAAGTTCAGCTTTGTATATGATCTTTATATAGCAGCAAGTAGCTTACCATGCTTTGATTGTATACTGCTCTTCTTTAGGCATATTATAATTGGGCTATTGCTATATCCGATCGTGCTAAGATGCGTGGGCGTACCAAGGAGGCTGAAGAATTATGGCAACAGGTAAAACTTAACTAGTCTGGTATTTTTAAATCTCTGTGTTGTTTCTTTTAGCTTTCCAAATGATTTCGAAGTTTTTCATTCAATAGAGGTTTAAATCCCATAGCTAAACAATGGTCAGATTTTGATCCTTCACTCTCTTTACAGCTTTGTGGACAGTCTGACATTTATACATTAAACAGTTATGCCGAAACGCAATGTGAAGATCATCGTTTGTGTTGCCCAAACACCATTGAGAAGTTAGTCTGACATTTATACATTAAACACTTATATTGTCTCATGGGATTTTACTCTCTTGGATGTCAAAGAAAAAACTGCTTAAATGAATGAATCTGAAAACATGTGACTTAAAGACTTGTTTTCCTTGTTGCAAACAGCTGTGGCTTCTCCTGTTCCTCCTAGAGAATTTTTTTGGTTATTTGCTATCCTTTCCTTCCTCTTAAACTGTTGTTTCCATGGGTTATATTGTTTAAGGTGAAATTGTTTTTCTAATCTTTTCTTCCAAAAATTTAATTGTTGCAAGTTTAATTGAAGATCATTTTAATATGCTGAAGAAACTAGATGGATTTTGTTGCGAATTTTCTTATGTGAAACGAACAACGGATTGGGGATCATGAGCAATGGCTTGTTTGCTTGCCTTGTGTAAGCTGGAAGCTTCTGAGAAATGAGATATAGATCACAATCACAATGTCCTATTGCCAAAGCTGGCTAAAGGTTCCCAAATTATAATCTCATCCATTGTTTGAATCATCACGATTTTCTATGGTCCATGTCATTCCTTGGTGTGAATCTACTTGCCACTTTGCACAAATTGAAAGATGCATAGCCTAAAGGAAAGATAATTCCAAGCAGATGCAACTATGTAGGGACAAGTAATTGTCATTGGATTTCTCATAGCTACTAACTTCACAATTTTTCTAACGTTTTCTTCGACATTGTTTTCTTAGAATTTCCTTCCCACTGTTGTACTTTTGAAGTTTAATGGCAGCTGTAGTAACATCAAAATCTTCTGTTCTGTAGGCAACAAAAAAATATGAGAAAGCTGTTCAGCTTAACTGGAACAGCCCACAGGTCTGCTATATCCTTACATTATTTCTTTATTTATTTATTTTCATCTATGCTCGTACTACCTGCCAATATTGCTTTTCTGTTTCATCATGAGCTTTCCTGCTTAGCTTGTTAACAGTTATCCTATTTTTGTTTTGTCTATTGATCCCAATGCAGTTGGTACGTTACAAGGGAAAGAACCTTTGTATGAAGATTAGGTTGTTCCTTTATGATCCAAGTTTTAGTGTGCGAGTCACAGAAACCTCTGTACTTGCAGCCATAAGGTTATATATACTGATCTTCCTTAAATCCTGCATTGGTGGTAACATGCACTGGGCTACCTCTGGAGGCCAAAAATATTCTAGGATCTATTAGAAGTTTTGATGGATCATGCTGAAGTTTAAAAGCAGTCATCAAATCTTGTCTTTTGTTTCATCTGTTCATTATCTTCACTTGCTGACTGTACTTCTGACAACCTTACATGATAAGATACTTAGCCAACCTGGTCAAATTGACTGATGCAGACATTTGGCTTCATTTAGCTCCACTCACAGGAGAGCATTTATTTTTAAAAAAATGTTGGTAGTTGGCATTTTGCTACACCGCTACGTACCATGATACTGTTACGAGAGGGAGAGGAGAGGAGGAAGAAGAAAGGAAGAAGAGGAAGAAGAAAGAGGAAGGTGGAGGAGGTCTACTGGAGTGGGTGGTGGACATGCAAGCATCAGCGGACATGCAGGCAGCAGGCCTGCTGGTGGCAACGGATGGAGAGAAGTCACAGTGGTGGCTATCCTCACAAGGAGTTGCGTCCAAGCCCCAACACAGGATTAAAAGGAAAAAAAATATTATGCATATTAGAGAACCAAACTAGATCGCCTGATTTTAGTTGCTTTGTGAATTAATTAGCACTCAGACCAGTAAATAGTGGTTGAACCATACCGAACTGGTCGGTTTTGCAACCCATAGCTTGAACTAGCTTGAAGTATTCTGGACAAATATAGAAAGAATTGTTGCAGGATGATTATATTTTTTGACTTTGTTTGGGGCACCGTTTTTTCAATGGACTACAAAACAACATTCTGTGGATAGGACAAGAAATCAGTTCTGGTTGATTCAAAGTCAGTTATCTTATTGTGCTATTGCTGATGACTTGAATGTTCTAAAATCGGAGTTTTTGTTCTATGAGTGATATTACATACATCAGGATACATCATGCTAAACAAAATGTCTAAAGTTGGACCTCCGACCAACTGCCTCTTCGTGTTCACCTTCTGTTTGGCTTGCGAGATCTAAAACTATTGTGACATAACATTTGAGCCAAACAAAGCTCTTTTCGATGTGGCAATTGGCTAAATGTGATCAGGTTTCACATACTGGCCGGTAGATGATGTTCTATATAGTGGCCATAGCTTGGTCCACTGTAGCCAATTGGTATGTCTGGTGCAAACCAATATTTGATTCCTTGTTCAGAATGTGATTTTTTCAGTTTTCAGCAACCTTTCTATTGTTGTCTAGGAAATGCTTCAGTGTAAAGTGTCATAATACTGCTTTATGGTGGTCATAGTTCTATGCAGTTATGTGTTCATTTCCAATTTATCTTTATTCTCTTCAATATTTCACTTTTTTCTGATTAACATATTTTCCATCAAAGTTTGGAAAAATTCAGGATCTTTATTCGAGTAGTTTTTACTCTTAATTGTTGGAGTGCTTATCAACTACTAGTTATTTAAAGCACAAGAGGTATCATCTTTAATTTTTTTTTTTTTTTATTGTAGGCCCTTAACAATTGGGGGCTTGCTCTGCAGGTACTGTGATTTGTATTTCTTACCATAACTTCTTTTAGAAGTAATTTATGCTGGTTTCTTATGTTATTAAGATTATTAAATTGATGCCTGTTTACAAAATAATGTTGCAGGAACTTGGTGCAATAGTTCCTGTACGGGAGAAGCAGACTATTATAAAAACAGCTATAAGTAAGGTAACACCATGAAGCATTGGCATATATTGCTAGACATGATATTCTTTTTAGAATTCATGGCTACACAGTTCAGGTATTTTCTTTTCTTGCTTTAGTTATGATGAGTTAATAATTAAGATATCTTGTAGTTCCGTGCAGCCATCCAACTACAATTTGATTTTCATCGAGCAATTTACAACCTTGGGACAGTTTTGGTTAGTCCTTACTTCTTACTGCTATATTCCATATTTTTCTTTTGCAACACTTGGTGACAAATTTCCTACCAAAGGGAAAATAGTATACTTTACTATTAATTCTCTGCCTACGGAATATTGAAAGGTGAATGAATCTGATTATATCTCTGTTCTTTATTGTAGTATGGCTTAGCTGAGGACACTTTTAGATCTGGAAGACCCATCAATGCGAAAGAAGTCTCTCCTGATGAGCTTTATAGTCAGTCAGCCATATATATTGCAGCTGCTCATGCTTTAAAACCCAATTACTCGGTATACCTCTGCCTTCTGATTCCCATCAATTTCTTGACTTATTATTTCAAGTCATGAAGATTTAAGATTAATCCTTGCTCAGGAACACATGTTTCCAATTTCAAGCTTCTTCAATGCGTCTACTTCCTAGAGTCATGTTACTTTAACCATTTGACTATGCTTTCTGTTTTGCTATTGACGTTGATATGTGGAGTTCCTTCACAACTTCATCTTTAGTCAGTTCTTGTGTTGTAATCAACCAAATCTCTGCTTGTGTTTGTTAAGTTGTTCCATTGTTGTATATCTATAGCTGAGAACATTTCATATATGTTTCAACATATCTTTAAGGGGAGCATTAGAGAGTATTACAGCTTGTTGCATTTTTGTTTTTGCTTTCTGAATCTCTGATTATCATGATCCTTTATCAAATTACTAACTATTGGTTTAGGGTTCAAAATTTTCACCATGGCATTCTTTCCACAGTTCTTTTCTCATCTCTGTGATTATCCTTGGTTTGTGGTGGCTGGTATTGTCCCTTGCAATCTGCATTCATTTCAATGATTTCTCCAAAAGTTTCATAAAGCCCATATGTGCATGTCATGCATCTTTGTGCATCACTTCGAGATTCTGCAAGGCACTTTTTGATTGTAACTAATTTTCCATCTCTGTGACATTTTATGAAATCAATTTTATTATGATTTATTCTAGAGTGTTAGTTGAAGAATGTATATTTGATTAACTTTGATCCCCTCATTGTCATGCAGGTTTATCACAGTGCCTTGAGACTAGTTCGTTCAATGGTCAGTTGTTTTTTTCCCACAATATTGTTAAATTGTCAGTTATTATATGTTAGATTAACTGATATTAACTAGTAGCAGCATTAGAAACTAGCAAATTAACATTGTAGGTTTTTCATAAAATTTTATAAAATACCTCTGATGGCAGAAGTGTGCTCATCTATAAAATTTACCTCTGGAGGCTCAACTATTAACTGTTACCTGTCTGTTTTCTTCTGCTGAAATTGTAATGATTGATTTTGTTGTTGGAATTAATGCCCTGTTGAACAAGAATGTTGTGCCTTGCCATTAATGGATATCGTGTTTGTTGTAACATTTAATACACCCAAGATGATTTATTGCTGTAGCCAATGCATTTGTATGCTAGCTAGATTTTGAGGTCATATAAATATCTAGAAATCTCTATTTTTGTCTACTCAAATCAAGGTTTTAAATCTTGGCAGCACGACCTGCAGCAGTTGGCTGCTTTAATGGAATGATATGATTCTTAACCAAAATAGCTCAAGGGCTTTTTCCAAACCCTTGTTCTTGGTTGCTAAAGGACCGTTTAAAGATTCTTTTTTTATTAGCCAAACAGGTGTATTTTAGGTAGAATTTACTCACTATGATAGTTTTTTTTTCTGTGCTGGGTGGCACAGTCCAATACTTGAATCCAGGCTCTGAACTATTGTCAACCTGTCGCGTGAATGCCTTCTCGAAGTTTATTGTTGGCACTGAGAGTTGCAGAGTTTTATAGTAGAACATTTCTCATACAGTGATCTAAGTTGCATGGACCCATGTGGTTATTTTGTGGTAGTCTTTGTTTGCTTCTTGGATACTAGTAGAACAATGTCCAAGTGACTGGGTGTGTACACGAAACAGGCAAAAATTTCAGGGTAACATAGAATAACATTAAACTTGATCTTTGTTTGTAAACAGTTATTTTTTATTTCAAATAGCATAAACTTCAGCTGAATTACACCAAGACTCAATTTATTTAAAACATTCTTCGGTTTACTGAAGAACAAGTTGGAAACATTCTATTTTGGCTTCTGTTCCACAAAATTCATATTTTCAGAAAGTTAGATGCCTGTGCATCTGTTCACTCATAATTTCACAGAAATCCTCTTTAAGTTGTCAATGTGGTAGATATTCTTCTGCGCTATCATAATTAAATATTAAATTAACATACTTTCATGAATACCCTTCCAAATATCAGATTGTGTGGACATATTTGAACGAAAACATACATGAAAAAGAATAGAAAATATAAAGAGCAAGCAATCCAACTTTAGTGGGGTATTCCAGTGATTTAAAAAGCGCTAGGCGTCAAAAGGTGCCATGGTCTAAAAACGCCCGAGGCGCGAGGTGCTTGCCCGAGCAAAGTGTGGCGTTAAAATATAAAAATATATAATATAATTAATAAATATAATTATTTAAAATTTTAAATAAAAATATGCTATTAAATTAAGATACAGTTAACAGTATATTGTTAATAGTATACTTTCGATTTCGAAAGAGGAGAAGCGAAAGAGAAGAGAAGAGTGTAAGGGAAGACCGAGAGTGCTGAGAAAAGCGGGAGCGACAGCGGTAGCGGCAACGACGAGCGATGACAGTGGCAGCGGTAGCAGCGAGTGGTGGGAGCAGGAGCGGCGACAGAGGCAGCGACAGTGGCAGCGGCTGCGGGAGCGGCGACAATGGCAGTGGCAGCGGTAAAAGCAAGCAACGTGAGCAGCGAGAGGCAACAGTGGCAGAGGTAGCAGCGAGCAGCGTGAACGACGAGTAAGGTTAGGGTTGGAGAAGTCGCGCTGATATCGGTGCTTTAGTTGGTTCAATTGAACCAACTAAAATACTGGAGACCGAACCAGACCTAAACCGTTGGTTCGGTCGCCTGGTTTAACCCAGGCGCTCGCCCGAAGCACCCGGCGCCTAGGCTCGGGCGAGCGCCTAGGCGGCACCTCTTTGAAGCGCACCGCCTGGAAATGAAGAGAGGTGCTCGGGCCTCGCCTCACCTCGACCGAGCGCCTTTTTAAATCACTGGGGTATTCATAAAAAAAATTATATATTTTGAATATGCCATTTAAAATATCCCTTGGAACCTTTTGTACAAGTACACAAGTGACAAGAAGAGCTTCAAAGAGATAATAATTTCTCCACATTACTGTTACCATTCTATTTTGATCTTTGACCAGTGAACTCTAAGTTTTGGCTTGATTCTATTGATACAGTCTAGAAACCAAAGCTCTGTAATCAGAGTCCCTGTCAACCAATTTCAGATATGTTACTTTTTATTGCATCTGAAGAAACTCTTGAAATTAGAGACAAGAACGTAATAAGTAATCTTATTTATAGAATGAAGATCAACTTTGAGGGAGGTAATTAAAGGAATTATTTTTTATGTTTCTTAGGTGGAGGTGGTTTGAATGTAGAGAATCCTTTGGTTTTCCTATCCTTTACAAAGCTTGGGTGAACATCAGCAAAGTGGGTCAAATTAAAGTCAACTACATAAATTTAAATTTTGTTCTGTTGTGATGATTTAAGTAGCACTAGACAAGGAAGAATATTGATACCTTCAGTTAGACTTATAATTCAAATGTATAGCCCATAAAAGGTAAAAAAATCTTATTTTTCAACCTTCTGCAAATTAATAATTATCATTTTAGTTTGCTTGTCACTTTAAATATTGTTACATGCTTTTCAATATTCTTTTGCACCTGTTGGGAAGCAATTTCATTTTGCTAATTTAATAGTCAGTTTTGTGTACATAGCTTGCTAGTCATAGTGCATATATGAAATCGTTAAATTTAATATCCTATAATCCTGTATGGGGTTATTATCATCATTGATATGCTGCTCTATTGTTATATGAGAAATTGACATAGCATAAGATAGTTGTTGGATTTATCATTGATGTCACTGTTTATTGATGTTTGTTATTTTTCTTCTTGACAGCTTCCTTTACCTTACTTCAAAGTTGGTTATTTAACTGCACAACCTGCACATATTCCAATTGCACCTCATAAAGATTGGCAAAGGTCCCAGTTTGTTTTGAATCATGAGGGACTTCAGCAGGTCAGGTTGCAAGGCATTGTTCTAAATAAAGAGATGATGATAATATAGGTTTTCTTGCTTATTCAAAGATTAATTAGAGTAATTTGTTTTTGTCACCGTATCTTTAAAACTTGTTGTTGGTTTAAGTTGTTTCTGTATCAAAAACGAAGGAAACTGTTTACCTAAAGTCATAGGAAGTAACCATCTTAATATCTGCCAGCAATATTGCTAGACCAGGATAATTTTGCACTATTTCTTCTAGGAAATACTAAACAATCCACTATTTTCTTTTGATCGAATTTTTTTTGTCCTTCATGTTCTTTTTATTTTGTCTCACACTTCCATTAGTTCCCCCTGTTGATTCTATTCTTCCATTAAACTACCATGCCTCATAAGCCCATAAAAAAATCCTTTTATCAAAATTCTACATGAGTAAATTTTGCTATGTTTTTCCTGTTTAAAATGGTCTCTATGTCACTAGAGAAGATTGCATCTCCTCATGGGCTTTCCTAGTACTCCTATTTGGAAGGAATGATTGACTTATGTCATGATCTCTTACTTCAGTTGAGTTTGGTTTTTCTGTCATGGATGTTGATCCACCTTTTCCAGCATATCCATGAGCAAAATAATTATATTTTGATGTGTCATTTACAAAAGAAAAGAATATTTTAAATGTTAGCATCTACACCCATTTGTCTGTAAGACCAAATTGATTTCTGCTTATGATCAGAGAAACATGTGTAACCTTCATCGCCTGATGATCTCAAAGGATTATCTAGTAAAAATTTTCTGAATGTCATAGCAATCTTATGTTTTTGGTGCGTTAAGATAGAGAGAGAATTTATATTTGTACTCGTTGCCATTATTCCTGTAAATGCAAATCCATAGGTTCCACAAGAATATGATTTAACTATTTAGAACTTTGTTGCTTGCTGAGCTGAAAGGTGTAGTTGATAGACTACTGATAATTTATGGGCAAATGATATTATGTACTGAAAAAGGCTGCTTCATTCAATTACTATAGCTGCTTGTCTATGAATGAGTTCAAGAAAAATATTTCTTTTCTTTATTGTGAATATTTCTACTTTTAAGTAGCAATTCAGGATAGATATGGTGAAATATATTTCTTGATCCTAACAACAATATCTCAAATCTTACCTTTACCAGGTGAGTAGGGTTGACAAGCATCTAACACAAAGTCCTCCTGGAAGGTCACGAGGATCCCCGCCGATTGATAAATCACTAGTTAAAGTTGATATCCGTGACATTGTTTCTGTCTCAGCCTGTGCTGACCTTACTCTACCAGGAGGTGCTGGCCTTTGCATTGACACAATTAATGGCCCAATTTACTTGGTGAGTGCCCCACATCCCGGCATGTCAAGGGAAGAAATTATTGGTTGCTTTTCACATTTAATTTTCTCATCCTTTGCCTTTGTGTTACACTGGCTTATTGGTTTGGTTTTTTCTTTAGGATCGGTGCTACTCCCTTTACCAGTATTTCCTCCTAGACTCTTGAGGTCACATTGCTCCATGGTTTCAGGTCTTTAAACTCACCAACAAGAACATGTCAACTAGACATTTATGTTCTTGGGCAAATCTCTCATACGAATACTTAAGCCTTGGCTAGAAATTGGCACCTGCTAGTACTTCCTCCTAGACTCTTTAGGTCACATTGCTCCATGGTTTCAGGTCTTTAAACTCAACCAACAAGAACATGTCAACCAGACATTTATGTTCTTGGGCAAATCTCTCTTATGAATACTTGGCCTTGGCTAGAAATTGGCACCTGCTAGTACTTCCCCCTAGACTCTTTAAGTTGCATTTCTCCATGGTTTCAGGTCTTTAAACTCGACCAACAAGAACATGTTAACTAGGCATTTAAGTTTTTGGGCAAATCTCTCTTATGAATACTTAGCCTTGGCTAGAAATTGGCACCTGCTGTATTGTCAGTGTAAACTTTGACAGCATTGATTTTTTGGTGCTTGTGATCGCTTGTGAATCAGATCAATTTCTATCGAGGGTTCAAAATTTATAATGTCTCATTTACTATTGTACCAGATTGCTGATACATGGGAGTCTCTGTACGGATGGCTAGACGCAATCCGCCTAGTCTACACCATTTTTGCGAGAGGAAAGAGCGATATTCTTGCTGGCATCATAACCGGTTGATTGTCCTATTTGAGCAATTGCATATGGGAAAAAAATTCTGATTCCATCTCACCGTGAGATCGATGGTGCTTGAATTCTCATACTTTTATAATCAAGTCTTTTACTGTTTGGCATTTCAATATTTGTGTAATAGTAATTTTGAATCATAATGGTGGCCTGCAATCCTTTTTAATGTGTCCCATAGGTTTATAACTAAGGTATTTGTATGTTTATAAACTAGTAAGAATATCCTTTACGCTTTTCTGGCAATTGAGTATTTTGTACAACAGCTTAATTATTGATTGTGACAGCAGTTTGTCTCTTCCAAATTTTCAGACAATTGGATCTTATCTTCTTTTTATTATGTATCAACAAAATGTTCATCTATGTAGCTGGAGTTTTCAATTAGTGGTATGATTTGATTCAGGCAATGGACTAGAGATGTATTACATCTGTACTCTCTAAGGCATCAAGACCTTCTGGACTAGAGATCCACGGACTCGCATCATCAGATCACCCGCTGAGAAATGATGCAACTAATGCTGGCCTACTGGTATTATATATTTTGCAGTGTTTTCACAATAATTTGAAGGTTGTGCAATTCCTTTTCCAATTAGCCTCTCTTTGGATTGTTGTGTTTGCGCTATTGTCTACATCTTCAGTTAACCCGTCATTCCCAGCATCAAATGCACAAAGAAACATTGGAAGTTTGTTACATTTAGTATGTTGATAATTATATTTTAAAAAGATATATTGACATCTTATAAAAGTTAAATATCTAGATTCATTTACCCTAATGATATTAGTTTTATTGATGAAAACATGAAAAATAAAAAGTAAAAAGATAATTTTAACGTTCTAATTAGTGGTGGTAGATAGCATCAGGGGTGGCGGATGATGATTTTGTTCGACGTCGATGTCGATGCCGATGCAGTTGTCAAGTGATTCTTTCATCATTCTGCATTTGCATCAGCATTTTATCGTCATAGAATCAAAATCTGATACCGAAGCTATCACAAAGATCTCTCACCTATCGAAATAGGACTCAGAGATATGCACCTCCCTCACCAAGGTCGACATCGTGCCCCTCCTTATCGCCTACCTTCTCAACCACCACCATTCATCCGTGATCGAGGCTTAGGAGAATGCCATCGCTACCCTCTTCAATCTCTTCATCTCCATTTGCGAGGCTACCCTCTTTAATTTCTTTATCTCCATTTGCGAGGTGCTCATATATACCCTGGATATCCTTAATACTCTCACTATTGCCATTCGCTTTCTCTCTCTCATCGTTATAACCTTTTACCGTCTTATCTTAGTCAAACATACCACTTTATCATTGGGTCAAAGAAAAATAAATTTAAATATTTTACTTTTATAATTACATGGATGCAAATATAAATTTTAGAAAGTAGTTAACTAAAAGCGATTGCATCCCGTTTGTGTACGCGATATAATTATGCGTATTGACATCCGTGTGTTCATCCTTGCAGGCCAACTAAGAAGAAGGCAGAATACCGGCAGCAGCAGAGTAGTGTCCCACTAAACCAGCCAACTATAAACAAAAGTATCAGTCATTTTTAGCTAATGCGTGGCTCACATACTATTATTCTAATGAATTTCCAACGCAGAACACATTTAATGACGCGGACAGCATATTAGAATCATGAAGCAGAAACAAGGAATTCAGACTTCACTTGCAATCAAAGGCAAGTGATAGACATTGACAGAGATGGGAAAGACAAGATGGAATTAGAAAAGCTGAGAAACGACAGAAACAAAACGAGTTATTCACAGCATGGTCGTCAAGAATTGGGCTATGTAGGAAATTTCTGAGTCTTCTCTTAGACAGATACCCAAAACCTGTCCTCTCCTCCAACTAGTTTAAATGCTGTCATTACCCAAAACATTAGATCCTCAATTTCGTGGTCATTATGCAGAAGAACGCTGTCTAGTTAACTGCAGATGAATCTATCAAGGTGAAATTGATTAGGCAATCATCATCAGATTTATTTGCGCTCACTGCTGAGAGATATATATATATATGTGTGTGTGTGCCTTTCGCTGCTCGAGAAGTATCAGAGCTCCAGATGTATCAAGATATGATCTTGAATGAGATGTCTCTTCCGGCCTCTCCTGTGTTTTGAGCTATTAACGCATGGAGGGATTATAGTTAGAATCAAGTTGAAAGATGTTACAATGAAACGACGGCAATGTACAATAACTTTGACCAGTTTAGATAAGGCAATTAGCAACAAGTTGTGGGAAACCATCATTCTTCGGCTCTCATCCCTAGAGGAATGTTCATGGGGACCCTACCACGAGAAGGGGGGATCAATGTATGGGGGAAAAGACGTTTAAATAGAAAGGTAGGTTGAGGAGTGCGATCACACACGGGAACAGTTTGAATGTGAGATATAGTGGGTGAAGGAATCATTAGGTCAGAAGCTTTTTGCTGGGGCTGGGCAGATGAACTGGTTCCCAGCTTTCCTCCAGTGCAAGCCATTCTTCCACCATGCTTTTGCTTTCTCGAGTAATCAAGGAGAAGTAGTATGGAGTTTGAAGTGGAGGATGTACCTGTTGCTGCTGCATTACCAAGATCTAATGCCATGCAAGCTCCTTTTTGTACTTGTATGGTAGGAGAATCCTAGTTGAGATTGCCAGAATCACTTCTCAGGCCTGCTAGATAACAAGTTAAGAACAGAAGCAGAAGGTGGAATAAAACTCATGAAATATCACATAAATACTTCATCCAGTGCTTTGTATTCATTGCAGTAAGTAGTACTCCACAGTGCATACAAACTTGGCAATGGTGTTATCAAACATCACATGAACTCCATTTCTTGTTTCTTAATCAGGCAATCTGTATGCTTACATATATAGCTGTTTTTTTTCCTTTTTCATTTTTTTGCCCTGCAGTAAAGAAGATCGAAGGAAAAAGAAAAATGGGTCTTTCCATCACCACACAATCAGAGTCTTCTACTTGTTAAGACAACCTGTTGAAGCCAACATAAAATGAAGCTTCACATATAGAACAGCTAAAAGAAGTGAAGGAAAAAAAATTGGAATTGAAGAGAAGAGACTTAGGTTTCATCTGTCTTATGTTAGGTCTGAGCAGCTGCAAACAGAGTGATCCAACATCGCCATCAAGAATTAATTTGGATGAGCAAAAACATACTTCTATCGACTGTGAGCCTCCTCATCCAATGATACCATTCCAAAACCCTGGAGGATCACCACCTTGTCCCCTATTCTGCTCAAACTGGTCCGCAACACTGTTTGATGGGACTACCGGCTTCAGATCCTCGAGAGGAAACGGCAGCTTACCACCAGCGCTCTCCTCAACCACCGGCAAGCTCCCGTATCCAGCCCTGCCGCCGATTCCATCCAAAGGAAAACTAAGAGTAGGAGGCCTGAATTCTTGCAGTGCGAATCCCGTCGGGTACGCTGACATCGGCATGAAAGGCCCGAGGCCTCTTGCAGTCATCTCACTCTTGAGTAGTTCCATGGCAGAGAAATATGTGTTGTTGATGGCACTGCTGCTTTCTAGGTTGGGGTAGTTGTACTCAGGGAGGTCCTGTTGGCGGAAGGCCAAGTTGAGGTCCTGCCCCTCGTGGAACTTTGGAGCTTCGGAGCTGGCGGAGAGCGAGATGTATGGAGGGATGAGATCAGCATGCAACTTTCTGGAAGTTGAGGCAGTGGCTGTGGGTGCTATGATGGGGGAAGAGGAGGAAGAGTTGGTGGCGGCAGAGGAGACGAAGTTTCTCTTGTTCTTTCTTGATCCACCACCCACAGGGACGTTCCTGAGCGTTCCACCCTCGGTCCAATACCTCCTGCAGCTCTTGCAGAAGTACCTGGGTTGGGTGAGGCTGTAGTTGTTGTAGTAGCAGAACTTGGTGTTGGTGGAGTTGCACCTAGGGCAGTTGAGGACCTTCTCCTTGTGTGGCCTTGGCCTCCTCTCCGTCACCTGTGGCCTGGTAGTGGTGCATCTGCTAGTTGAAGTGGTGGCTTCAGTCGTGGAGGAAGCAAACTGAGCCTCCATAGGCTTCACCAGCCCTATGCCCTGGAGAGCAACAACAACGCCAAATCCCCATATGGAGGAACTCAATTAGAGAGAGAGAGAAAGAGAGAGGAGGAGGAGGAGGAGGAGCAGACAGACTTAAAACAGACACATATATCAGATCATCATATGTAGCTACTTAGACATGCCTCTAAGGAACAAAGTCACCAAAAAGAAGCTTACAAGATAAAGAAGATGAAAAGGCTTGATGGAGAGAAAAGCAAAGCAACAGTTTTCATGTCTCACTGCTTTATTGCATACGATAAAAAGAAAGCGAGAAGACAGGGAAAAAGGGAGAAGGAAAAAGAAAGGCCTTCGCTGCTTTCAAGAGCAAAAGGAGTGGGGGTGATGGGATTAAAAGCTCGAGGCCAAAGGAAAAGATGTGAGATATAGGGAGAGAGAGAGAGAGAATGAAAGATGATCTCCTAAAGCGTACCAACGTAAGAAAGAGAAGAACTAGATCTATCTCAAGCCTCAAACCAAAAGAGAAACACAGCAGATCCACTCCACTCCATCAGGGAAATTAAGAACAATAGACAGATAGATCCAAAGAAAGTAAAGTACTCATCAAGTCTCGAGCTAACTTTACCTGATGCCACTGGTTAGCATCCATGCGAAGGCTCACAGATGATCCAAAACACCAAACAAGAGAAGGAAGAAGAAGAAGAAGAAGAAGCCGTTCTCCGGACTGGAATGCAAGATGATGGCTTGGGACAAGGACGGATTGATATGTGGTTACTGTCTCTCGTATCCTTTTGAGAGGTGGACGATTCTGTTCTGAAATAATAACCTATTCTCCTCTCCCTACTTTTACCACTGAAGTCTCTATTTGTGTCGGCATTTGTCCATTGCTGTCTCTGTGCTGATACAGTGGGAGTCAACCATTGCGTTAGAGAGAGAGAGAGGTGTGAGTTTGAAGCAAGGGCAGGACATGTACGTGCACCACACCTGTCGAGGAGGGCGTGGCACGTGGAGAGGAAGACCCATGCGACATGGTGATGGAAGACACGCTGGTTGGGTCCCACTTTGTGCGCGTGAAGAGAAAGAGATAGTGGCAGGTGAAGACCTTCCCTTCCTCCCGAGAAAGATCAAACGGAGGGGACGGAGCATAAACTATGATACCAATGGCTGCTTCTAACTTTAGAGACTCGGAGATTTCTCTCTCTCTCTCTCTCTCTAAGGAGATTGACAAAGTATTCCCATGTTGCGCACTGTTCTCTCTTTCAAAGTAGATTGACAGGTTTGGATCAAGAGTTGGTATCATCAATGGCATGCATGCCCACAAGGTTCTGCAGAGCAGAGCACATGAATGCACGAGCAAGGGGTGTTAACCAGATCTGCATGATGCATGCGAGACAGTGCAGAAGTAGTTGCCAAAGAGACCGCCTGGATATGCTTGGCTGCGATCGTCTTCATAACAGCATGCAACAAGGCATGAGCACTGTTTCCTAAGACCTAATAGTTTATACACAGTACTGATCAGTATAACATAATGAGCTTTGACTCAGCTTTCCATGTAGAAACAAGAGGGTCCATCCAGAATACTTCATTGCCATAGTTCTGGGAGATGGAAATGGCACTGTAGGTTGTCGGGACAGGTGCCGCATATTTCGAGGTTGATTTCAGCTGATGATCCAGTTAAGCAGACATTAACAAGAAGTAGCATTTGGAAATCATTTGTTTTCCTTTCTTTTTCTTCCGTGTGATGACACATACTGCAAAGTTCTTAGCAAACATTTAAGATACAATCTATTTTCCATTGAAATCCTAATCGAGAACCCTAAAGGAATAAACTGACCGAGACATTGCAAGAAATGACCAGATGAATCTGTTCATCGAGTCAACAGCCCACGGGCGGCTGCTGCATGCAAGAATTCTCCTTGTTGGGTGTGAGACTTCCTCGCAATTTCCTCGTCTTAGCAGTTCCATTTCCTCGTGCATTCGATCGCATACGGACACCGAGAACAATTCGCATTTGCGTCATTCAAATGACACTTCAATTTGGAACTGTCTGCTTGGTTTTTCCGTGGTGAAAAGATCCAATAATATATGCAACTGCACCATCGTGTTCTTGTTCTTGTCGTCTACTTGGATTGTTGAAACTCCACCATGGATCGCGTCACTTGTTTCTTGGTCATTATCCTGTTTTGGCGTCTCCTTTTGTCCGCTGTGATATGTTCATGCCATCACATGCACTGTGTTTTTTGCTTTGCTTCCATGTTTTCTGAAGGTAAGCAGCACCGCATCTGCTTAATTTAGATGTTCTTCTGAAGCCAAGATTGCAGTTTCACCCCTTCAAAGTTTTCTTGTTTCTGCTACCATCGCCAAAACCTGGTCCAAGAGACAACTAGAATAACAATGCTCTTTAATGTCCTCTTCAGAATATATTCCATATAGATGGAGAGTACATTACTTCCCTTCCACCATCCACCATGTCAATAAAGTTTGAGCCAAGTGCATCACCTTTTCCCTAAAGTGTTACAAGTGTTCATATTTGATGCACCTCAATTCTGTAATGATCTTGGATCTAACTTTCATTTATGCTTCTGGAATCATGATGTTCATAAAATAATATGTGATCATATGCATATATGCATATGAATCTTTAGATAATGCAGTGAAAGAATAGACAATCTCCAGGCAAATGCTTGGAGATATATTTCATTCATCTTCTGTCACTTTCTTCTTCCCCACCACCACTTCAATCTGCCCTCTCTGACTCGTTCACTGAGCAGCCATCCATTGTGGCTGGTGAGGTCTAACCGGATTCCTATCCACATCTCACCTAACATGCCTTGCACTGTATCGAAAAGATTAGCCCATGAATTCACATCCAATGCACAAAGCTATCTGACATGATAGGTGGAGCCAAGACCTTTCCTCTCCTTACCTCTTTGCTCAACTCAGACAATAACAAATAGATGCAGACAGCAAATTAGAATCTGATTACCTGCTTCTTACTCTGTCCCTTACCTTCATCCAGAAGCACATTACCTTATGGGTCAAACCTTGATCTTTCTGAGAATCTTTGATGCATCAGAAGTCATTAACTAGATGATAATTTTTGTGTTGATGTGTCCTCAATGCACACCAGGTTAGGTGTTGGGAAAAATCTTGAATCATTCTTGTACAAAAGGGATAGATAGCCTGCAGCAATCCAGTTTCTTGCAACTGGAACCACTGAGGAAGTTTGATCTGACCATTTACTGTAGCAAGTTTCTGAAACTTATTATATGCTAGTCTGTTCTCTGTAGACTAATTCAAAAGCTCCTAAAACAACATGGACAGAGAGCACTGTCAACAATATACTTCACAGGCCTCTGGACATGAGCTAAAGCCTCTTCCAGAGCATTCAAATTCTTCTCTGTCATTATCACCATGAAAAATCTTGGAAGTAAATTATATATGCTTCAGATGAAGTTCTAAGCTGAAAATTAGGTTTCAGTGTTACTAGTTAGCAGAGATTTAAACTCTGTTAAAAAGGAAATTAAATTTTATATATGTATATGTATATATAGAATTTAGCAGTGAGAGAAGTGCCAAAACTCCATGCTGGTTGAAGAAGAACCTACGGTTGTGTGTTACCTGTAAGAAACAAATCATCTGAAGTATGAAATGTAATATATCACATCACTAAGGAGCTCCCAATCTGCCATTTTATTTGGGTTAGGAAGGGATTGGAAGAACCTTAACATAATGTCTCCAGTAAGTTCCCAACTTCATGTTGGATCAGAATGCCAACAAAGTATTAATTTTGCAGATTCTATCAGCAGATTGAGTTTTCAATGGATGGTGTTACTATAATGATCTGTTAAAGGTGGTCAATAATATAAGAGGAGAAATATAAGATAACAAAAGCTTTCAATTTTTGTTCTTCATCATCCTCACTCTCTCAATCTCAACAATTGTTATGAAGCCATCAGCTAAATCTTCCAATTCTCCTATATCTCTAGACTTGATTAACCCAACTTGAGCATCAGAAAATTACAACACTTCTAAATTATTTCTTTGACTTGAGCATCAGAAAATCATCTCAGTCCATTTCCAATAACCTTTTTTCTTTTTCTGATTCGATACGTCGAAATCTACAATCGATGGTACATTGGATCTTCGTCGGTAGTGGTACATTATCATTCTTTTGAATCTGTTCATTCTTCTGCTGATACTTGCTCGGTTGTTCATCGCATGTACAATACCTAATTCACAGTAGCTTCATCAGCAGGAAGCCATAACCTAACAGTGACAGCTTCACTGTGTAAGAGTATGCGACAGTTTGAAGAACACAACATTTTCAAGTCAAACACTGCGTCAATGCCGATCGCGTCATGCATCAATTTGTATGAACCATAAACGCTGAGTGCAGTGTAGAAAATTCTAGGAGTTGTGCACCGGAAGCTGCAATCCCGGACGTCAAGGAGGTGGAAGATATGCTCATCCACAAACTTGTGTTGAAAGTGGACAGTTGACCTCACCGTCCACCTTGGTGGTCTTCTCATGACCTATCGCAAGGGGATGCTTCAGTATTCTATCAGGTAGCTTGAAGGATAAGATGCAGTGTTCTGTGAGGTGACAAAGATAACGCATCATCACCACATGCTATCACAGTCTCCACTGAGTGCAGGGTTTGGCTTGACGTGTGGTGGGAGCAAGCAAGGAAGGTCCACTGTCTTCGTCACCTGGATTTTGTTAGTGACAACACTTTGATTCGATCTTAAAGCAAGAGCAAGAGTCGTCTATGTTCATTGCTCCTCTGACTGCACCCACCATTGTGTCGGTGATCTGTTCCTTTAACACAAGTGAAGAAAAATCAATCATTAAGTCAGAAATTAATTATCCAAAATGAATATAAACTTAGAGTCAATTAAGATCTTTTTCCGTGGATTTTGGAGATGTCAAACTCTGTAAACTTGCATTGAGAGCCAATATAGTTGCAATAATCCAACTGTCAGCTATACATTGATCATATGTTAATCATCCGATATTGAAGCGTTCATCAGATCACAATGAGTTAGGGTGTGATCACTTGTCTTTATATCATAAATAAATATTATATATATATTAAAATACGGTTAAGTATCAATCAACAATCAATAAATTATTATTAGTATTATTATTATTATTATATGAGAACTGACGCCAGATACAGTATCTAAATGATTCACCAGAGTCGGCCACGTGTCGTTTCGCCAGCAGATAGTTGGCGCCGGAACCCACAGGACGCGGGACCAGTCGCAGTCGGTCAAACCCCTGCGGCGTTGACCGGAGTTCTTCCTAACCCATTCTGCCGTTCCTAGCGGGAAAATGGTCAACTATAAGCGTGTATTCCAACAGGGGAAACTTCACGTGTCATGAAATGAAATATGCTAAAGGTAGCAAATGGTTAATAATGATATGTGATTATGATGATAATGATCATAGGCGACAATGGAATGATATCTGTGTTAGTTTCCTAAAATTATGTCTGTGGAATCCAAGATACAGTTTTCTCAGGTGGATCTGTTTACATATCTGTTGACTTCTGCAAGATCCACA